TAACTACCAATTTTCAGAAAAAGAAATTTGTGTAACAGTCACCTCCAATGGTGGCAACTGAGATTTTTTCTTTTCTGTTTTTGAGGGTTACTGTGGACTCACTGATTTTTTTTTTTTAATGCACTTAGTGTTTTGTTTATTTAAAAAAAAATCAATGTAATTTACAACTACAAAATATAATTTTTGAGACTTATTATTTAAAATTTTTTTTTTAATTTGGTGAGACTAAATGTGAAGGCTAAGTGCTAATGAGATATAGATCAAATGGAGGGTAATAGGGTTAATCAGAATAGTTTTTTTAAAACTATACATTATTAAAGGTTTCTAATCATTTTTTTTAATTTATGAGATGCTCTTTTCTGAAAGTCTTTGAGTACCTTAACCAGAGTATAACTGAAAACAAGAATGTCAAAAAGGCACATTTAAATTGTTCTCAAAATCAATCAAAAATAATGAGGTGCTGGGAAAAAGTTGTATCCTTGATAATTACATCTATCAGTATCAGAAAACAAAAGAGAACAATCAGGAAATGACAATCCCACTCCCAAGTAGCACATTTAAAAAGGCTAATGAAAAAAGTCTCTTTTAAAAATTGTAGTAAATTAGCATTTCAAGTAAATTGACAACTTAAGCGTTGATAAAGGCCAATCTGGGGCCCACACAATGGAAGTTCTGTTTCTACTTTTATCTGCTTTTAAAAGAAATGAGCTCACTTGACTTTTTTTTTGTTGTCTTTTGTGTAAATGGAAGTAATTGTCCTAAGGGCGGTGACAGTCCTCCTGTACTCTGCAAGGGTCAGCTCACACTTGGAGTTTTGGGCTTCATCAGGGGTTTCTATTTATTAAAATGTTGGGCTGGAGGAAAGTAACCAGGATGGAAGGTTGTTCCAAGTGTTTCTTAACACTACGACCTTATTTTCAGTCTGAAAAGGGGTTAATGTAACTGTCACTCTAGACAAGGGATTCAGCCTGCTCTTTACAACACCAGAGCCTAGAGTTAGGGCCAACGGATGAAAGTAGCAGAAAAGCAGATTTGGGCCTAGAATTAGGACAGATTCCCTCATAATCTCAGTGGTGCAGAGCTGGAATGGTTTTCATCTCCAAGGAATGAGCTCCCCAAGGCGGATACTGTTCAGAGGTTAGAATTCCTTTACTTGAAGATGGTGGATCAGCATGCAGGGGTCTCTCAAATATTTTGCCAAGAATCTATAAACATAATAAGGGATGCTTTAAAGGTCATTTAAATTTACTTTTTTAAAAAAATTGAGGGTAAGAATGAATTTTACATCATGACTTAGGAAACCCTTAACAGTGTAATTTGCATACCATTGCTTTGTATTTGGAAAATGTGAAAAGTACAGTGAGGGAGAGCTCGGGCTGCAGTGTTTTAGAACCATGGTACATTGTTTTTGATCACATTAAATACTTAATGTTATCGAGCTGCAAATTTGGGAATTTATAGATAAGAATATGGCTTTGTTAATAAAAATA